TTCCCCACGTGCCCGGAGCACGAGCTGGAGAACTACAGCATGTACTGCGCGGGCTGCCGCACCCCCGTGTGCTACCTGTGCCTGGAGGAGGGCCGGCACGGCCAGCACGAGGTGAAGCCGCTGGGCGCCATGTGGAAGCAACACAAGGTGGGTGAGCGCCCGCGGGGCGGGGCGGGGGCTGGCCAGAGGGTCAAGCGGACTGACCTCATTCATTCATTCACTCGGGACCGACCTCATTTATTCATGCATGCATTCATTCATTCATGCAGGGATGATCTCATTCATTCATTCATTCATTCCCTCGTTCTCTCATCTGTCATTGGACAAACACTTCAATGAACTCCAGGTGCTCTGAGCTGGGTGTTGGAGATGGGAAGGGCATGGAAAGATGACAGTAGTAGGAAAGATGATTCTACATAAAGGGTACCCAGAATGCAGAAGCGTGCTTTTTTTCACGCCTTAAGCTGACTAATAAGTTACCTTTTTAAAAACATGTATTTTTATTGATTTCAGAAAGGAAGGGAGAGGGAAAGAGAGGTACAAACATCCATGATGAGAATCATGGATCGGCTGCCTCCTGCACACCCCTCACTGGGTGGGGATCCAGCCCGCAACCCGGGCACGTGCCCTCGACCGGAATCGAACCAGGGACCCTTCAGTTCGCAGGCCCACACTCTAACCACGGACCCCAACAGGCGAGGGCTAATGAGTTACCTCGGTGGCACTAGCGTCCAGCGCCCCTTCCCCCCTTGATAAAGTTTGTTTTTAAGTTCAAGTGTTACCACCTGCGCGGGAGAAAATGTCCCAAGTCTTGCACTTGGTTAACGGTCTCTGAAGGCGGGAAGGATTCGATCCCAGCCCTCGGTGAAGGGACACACTATTCCCTCCAGAGCCGAACTCCCACCGGCTTCCAGAGCAGAAATTTCCCTCCTCTGTCAGCTAGTCTCCAGCACTTTCCACCCCCAGGCACCGTGTTTGAAGAAGGCGGAGTCCTTTTCCCCAGAGAAGGTTCCTTGGGGGGGCATGGTGGTGTCACAGAACAGGCTCTGAGTAAGACAGCGAGGCCCACCGGCATCTGCAGGCTGCCCCAGCCTCCCTCCCCAGCACTTGCCTGGGATGCCACCTTCCAGTGGGAATGGAACAGCCTCTTAGGCTATTGGCTGGAGCTCCCTGGTGGCTGCCAATCAGGTCAGGCGCTTGATTATGGCCCCAAGGCAGGCGCAGGGTCAGTTCTTGGAAGGAACATGCATCTTCATGGCTCATCCAAAGGCTCAGCTGAGTAACTGGACTCTCAGGCCCCTGAGGTCAGTGAGTCAGGCCTGGCAGAGTTAGAGTCCCTCGTTCAGGGTCCCCGACAGCAGCTGCAAATGTGGACACTTATTATTCCGCGTCCTCTCTCCAGTAAATGTTTCACACCTTAAAAAGGCAGGAGGCAGCCGATCGATGATTCTCTCTCGTCCTTGATGTTTCCATCTCTCTATTCCTCTCCCTTCCTCTCTAAAATCAATTAAAATATATATTTTTTTAAAAAGATTAGCGCCCTAGCCGGTTTGGCACAGTGAATGGAGCATCAGCCTGCGGACTGAAGGGTCGCAGGTTCAATTCCAGTCGAGGGCATATGCCTGGTTTGCAGGCTCGATCCCCAGTGTGGGATGCGTGCAGGAGGCAGCCGATCGATGATTCACTCTCATCTGCTTCTATCTTTCTCTCCCTCTCTTTTCCTCTCTGAAATCAATGAAAATATATTTAAAAAAAAAGATTAGCCGCCTCCCTGGCCTGTGTCCACTAGATTCCTGGAGATGGAGCCTGCAACCCGGGCTTGTGCCCTGACCGGGAATTGAACCGCGACCTCCCGGTTCATAGGTCAACACTCAACCATGGAGCCACTCCAGCCAGGCCAATCTTCCGATAGTACACAGGACACCTCCCCCAAACAATGATGTAGCCCCAAATGTCAATAGTGTTTCTGATAAGACGCCCTGCTATATAGTTACATAGACCTATCTCCAAGTCTCAGCGCCTGTAATTCTGTAAGCTTTAGGCACAGCTTAAAGCCCGCTGGATAATAATACCTAATTCCGACCATTGTTGTAAGGAGTAAGTGTGATTCTGTGTGTGTAGCCTCTAGCACAGTACCTGCCCCGCAGTAACCAATGTGTGTTATTATTTTTCAAGTTCTTACACTTAAAACCACTCCACCTGCAGGAAAGCACAGGGTGCATAAAATGCTTATTTAACCTCAGTGACCTGGTTTCCTGCAGAAAAACATGTGCTGATAACTTCTTTATTTTAAATATATTTGTATTGATTTCAGAGAGGAAGGGAGAGAGATAGAAACATCAGTGAGAGTGAATCATGGATCGGCTGCCTCTTGCACACCCCACATTGGGGATGGAGCCCGCAACCCGGGCGTGTGCCCTGACCAGGACTCGAACCGTGACCTCCTGGTTCATAGGTCCACGCTCAACCACTGGGCCACGCCGGCCGGGCTACACACAAGTCTTCACAATGAAGTGCAAGCTGTGTGCCTCTAACCCAGCCGTGGGCAAACTATGGCCCGCGGGCCGGATCCGGCCCGTTTGAAATGAATAAAACTAAAAAAAAGGAAAAAAAGACCGTACTCTTTTATGTAATGATGTTTACTTTGAATTTATATTAGTTCACACAAACACTCCATCCATGCTTTTGTTCCGGCCCTCCGGTCCAGTTTAAGAACCCATTGTGGCCCTCGAGTCAAAAAGTTTGCCCACCCCTGTTCTAACCCTTCCTTCTCCTCTTCAACCTGTGACTCCGGTTGTAGGCCCAGCTGTCCCAGGCCTTGAATGGCGTTTCCGACAAGGCGAAGGAGGCGAAGGAGTTCCTGGTGCAGCTGAAGAACATTCTGCAGCAGATCCAGGTGAGCCGGCCGCAGCGCCGGGAGCGCGGGGGGCGCAGCAAGCTCAGGAGAGGCGTCCAGAGGAGAGGACCGCGTGTGGCGAGCACGTGTTCAGGGATGCGCACGAGGAGGCTGGCTTGTCCTGCAGCCTCAGACACTGCAGACACCACACTCGGTCCACCCACGCTCACGCGGCACTTGATACGGGCAGGAGATTTCGCATCAGCTCAGTGATAGAGGATCATAAGAAGAGCTGGAGAGAAGTCGTGCACCCCCTGCATGGCCACGGCATCCTACGCGGTGTCAGCCTGTCCAGGGTGCTGGGTACCCATGTCATCAATGTAAACGCGTTATTTAGTAAATAAGGGTATTTTTAAAAAATATTTTTATTGATTTCAGAGAGGAAGGGAGAGAGGGAGAGAGATAGAAACATCAATGATGAGAGAGAACCATGGATTGGCTGCCTCCTGCATACCCCCTACTCGGGATGGAGCCCGCAACCCAACCGGGAATTGAACCGTGACCTCCTGGTTCCTAGGTCGATGCTCAACCACTGAGCCACACTGGCCAGGCCTAAGCAAGTGTATTTGTAGCACTCTTGCTATGTCACATCCTGAGCCAGATGCAGACCCCTCAGGTACCATGTCCGGCCTCAGGAGCTCGGAGTGTGAGGGAGAGTGCACACGCGTGTGCTCCGTGTGAATGTGCACGTGGAGGAACATACAGGTGGTGACCCTGGAAAGCAGCAGCGTCAGGATGGAGGAAAGGGACTGAGGGACTAAGTCGGAGATGGCTGCTTGGGACACATGTGCACACGCAATAGGACGGGATTACGCAGAACGCAGCTTGCAGCCTGTTCCCCCGCCCCCAGGAGGATTTCCTGTGACAATAAAAACTCGCCGAACAAGGTTTGATTGACAAAAGACTGTCCCGCCAGAGAGATGTGGCGCGATGCACGGCTCCTCTCCCCCAGTTCATATCTACTCGGTTTCCGGTTTCATCGCGTCTCGGTAACTCCAGGACGCGCGCCCGTGTGTCTAGCACCCGCCAGACCTCAGCACGCCTCCCTAACCCTCTCTGCTCCCCCAGGAGAACGGGCTGGACTATGAAGCCTGCCTGGTCGCTCAGTGCGACGCGCTGGTCGAGGCTCTGACTCGGCAGAAGGCCAAGCTGCTCACCAAGGTCACGAAAGAGCGGGAGCACAAGCTGAAGGTAGGTCCCCGGGAGACCAGGGCGCCCCCCCTCCCTCCCCGTCCTCCTCGCAGCCTCTGCACCCAGCACGGGTGGAGCACTGAGTCCATATTAGTGAGTGAGTGAACCGATGAGTGAATGAATGAATGAATGAATGAATGAGTGAGTGAATGAATGAGTGAGTGAATCAATGAAGGAATAATTGAAGGAATGAGTGAGTGAGTGAATGAATGAATGTGTGAGTGAATTAATGAAGGAATAATTGAAGGAATGAGTGAGTGAGTGAATGAATGAATGTGTGAGTGAATTAATGAAGGAATAATTGAAGGAATGAGTGAGTGAGTGAATGAATGAATGTGTGAGTGAATTAATGAAGGAATAATTGAAGGAATGAGTGAGTGAGTGAATGAATGAATGTGTGAGTGAATTAATGAAGGAATAATTGAAGGAATGAGTGAGTGAGTGAGTGAATGAATGAGTGAATGGATGAATAAGCGAGTGAATGAAACAAGGAAGGGATGAGCAAGCTGCCCCTGGGCCCACGTACTCACGTGACTGTCCCTGAAGCCAGTCGACACACATGCGGTCCCTCCAAAGCCAGCGCCGGACGCCCCGAGTCCTGCCGGTCGCAAGTCCACTCCCCCCGGCCGCCTCTGAGCCCCGTGTGCTGCCTCAGGGACTCCTGCTCTCGCCTCGCAGCGCAGCAGTGACCACTGACGGTGACGAGGTCCCAGCTCTGCCCTTCTTCGGCCGTGTCCGCTGGGTCCTGCACTCAGTAATCAGCAGCCATGACAGGACCCAGCCAGCAAGGGGAGGGGAGGGTCCCCTCGCGCGGTGCTGGGCTCCTGGGCTGGGCAGCACCTGTGAGCACGCGGCATTGACGAAGGACGGCTTCACAGTCCCAAGGCTCGATCTGTTTTATAGACATTTGCCAACCGCATCGGAAAATATTACTTCCTTTTCCTTTTTTTCTTTTCTTTTCTTTTCTTTTTTGGTTAATCCTCACCTGAGGGTATTTTCCCATTGATTTTCAGAGAGAGTGGAAGGGAGAGGGAGAGACAGAGAGAGAAACACCGATGTGCAAGAGACTCATCGATTGGTTGCCTCCCACATGCCCCCCAACCGGGATCTGGGATGGAGCCTGCAACCCAGGTACTTGCCCTTCCCCGGAATCAAGCCCAGGACCCTTCAGTCCAAGGGCTGATGCTCCAACCGCTGAGCCAAACCGGCCAGGGCAGGAAATACTACTTTCCAGGGAAGGAGGAGTGAGCTCTGGGGATGGTCCGTGGCTGGTGAACCATCGAGTCCCCCCAGACCAGTGAGAAGGGAGACCAGCCGTGGGGGAGTTTCAGATTCTGCACTTTCTCTGCTCGTCTACCCAGAGTTCAGGACGTTTGCTCTGCTGGGGGCTGTGGCCCCACCTGTTGGGAACGGATCCATTCTATCTCCCAGTAACGAGGGCACGTGGAGCTCAGGAGCAGGACAGCGAGAATAGAGGGTTCACGGTGGGCCGGACCAGTGCCATCTCTTCCAGAACCTTCTCTGTGACTCTCGCCGCAGCGGACTGCTCTTCCTCGGATGATGAGAGGCTGACTAAGGACTTTTTCCCCGCAGATGGTCTGGGACCAGATCAACCACTGCACACTGAAGCTACGCCAGTCCACGGGGCTGATGGAGTACTGCCTGGAGGTGATCAAGGAGAACGACCCCGCCGGCTTCCTCCAGGTGAGCCCGCTCCCAGGGCCCAGGTGGGCTCGCCCCCTTCCCCCAGCCCCACCCCGCTCCCCAAACTCCGTTAGGAAGGCCCCTTCCCGCGGCCTGGAGTTGAGTAGTCCTTTGCTCAAGGGTTCCAGAAGACCCGAGTCCTCATCTTTTTTCATCTTTATTACTTATTTGTATTGATTTCAGTGAGGAAAGGAGAGGGAGCGAGAGAGAGAGAGAAACATCCATGATGAGAGGGAATCACTGATCGGCTGCCTCCTGCATGCCCCCACTGGGGATGGAGCATACAAACCGGGCATGTGCCCTGACCAGGAATCGAACCATGACCTCTTGGTTCATAGGTCGAGGCTCAACCACTGAGCCACACCAGCCGGGCTTAAGATAGGATTTAAACCACACAGTGCGTTTGCATGTTCCGCCTGTCGCACTGGTAGGGTTCATTTCCTCTCGTCCACGGCTTCACACTAGCCGAGGGCAGCCCCGTCCAGTCCCCGGGCACAGGGACAAGGCCCCAACGCCTCCCTCATCACTCGCATGATTTTTCCTCTGCAAATCCAAACCCTGACCTCCGCGCTCCCTTTAAGATCTCGGACGCCCTGATCAAGCGAGTCCAGGTGTCTCAGGAGCAGTGGGTCAAAGGCGCCCTGGAGCCCAAGGTGTCCGCGGAGTTTGACCTGACCTTGGACAGTGAGCCGCTGCTGCAGGCCATCCACCAGCTGGACTTCATCCAGATGAAATGTAGGGGTGAGCCGGGACTGGCCAGTTCAGGCAGGGCTGCTTTCAGAACAGGTGGCCCCTCTGAGGGGCAGCTTACAGGGTTGGGGAACGTCCGGCCCGCGGGCCATAGAAGGCCCGAGAAATCCTTTGGTCTGGCCCTGCCAAGGCATTAGGGGTGAGTTCATTAAATGCTTGACCAAATATAGCAGGCTAATTTTCTTTAAAATTTTTTAAAAAATTTATTTCAGCGAGGAAGGGAGTGGGAGAGGGAGATAGAAACATCCATGATGAAAGAGAATCATGGATCGGCTGCCTCCTGCATGCCCCCCACTGGGGACTGAGCCTGCAACCCTGGGCATGTGCCCTGACCGGGATGTGAGTGAATGAATGAATGAGTGAGTGAATGAATGAGTGAGTGAATCAATGAAGGAATAATTGAAGGAATGAGTGAGTGAGTGAATGAATGAATGAGTGAGTGAATGAATGAGTGAGTGAATCAATGAAGGAATAATTGAAGGAATGAGTGAGTGAGTGAGTGAATGAATGAGTGAATGGATGAATAAGCGAGTGAATGAAACAAGGAAGGGATGAGCAAGCTGCCCCTGGGCCCACGTACTCACGTGACTGTCCCTGAAGCCAGTCGACACACATGCGGTCCCTCCAAAGCCAGCGCCGGACGCCCCGAGTCCTGCCGGTCGCAAGTCCACTCCCCCCGGCCGCCTCTGAGCCCCGTGTGCTGCCTCAGGGACTCCTGCTCTCGCCTCGCAGCGCAGCAGTGACCACTGACGGTGACGAGGTCCCAGCTCTGCCCTTCTTCGGCCGTGTCCGCTGGGTCCTGCACTCAGTAATCAGCAGCCATGACAGGACCCAGCCAGCAAGGGGAGGGGAGGGTCCCCTCGCGCGGTGCTGGGCTCCTGGGCTGGGCAGCACCTGTGAGCACGCGGCATTGACGAAGGACGGCTTCACAGTCCCAAGGCTCGATCTGTTTTATAGACATTTGCCAACCGCATCGGAAAATATTACTTCCTTTTCCTTTTTTTCTTTTCTTTTCTTTTCTTTTTTGGTTAATCCTCACCTGAGGGTATTTTCCCATTGATTTTCAGAGAGAGTGGAAGGGAGAGGGAGAGACAGAGAGAGAAACACCGATGTGCAAGAGACTCATCGATTGGTTGCCTCCCACATGCCCCCCAACCGGGATCTGGGATGGAGCCTGCAACCCAGGTACTTGCCCTTCCCCGGAATCAAGCCCAGGACCCTTCAGTCCAAGGGCTGATGCTCCAACCGCTGAGCCAAACCGGCCAGGGCAGGAAATACTACTTTCCAGGGAAGGAGGAGTGAGCTCTGGGGATGGTCCGTGGCTGGTGAACCATCGAGTCCCCCCAGACCAGTGAGAAGGGAGACCAGCCGTGGGGGAGTTTCAGATTCTGCACTTTCTCTGCTCGTCTACCCAGAGTTCAGGACGTTTGCTCTGCTGGGGGCTGTGGCCCCACCTGTTGGGAACGGATCCATTCTATCTCCCAGTAACGAGGGCACGTGGAGCTCAGGAGCAGGACAGCGAGAATAGAGGGTTCACGGTGGGCCGGACCAGTGCCATCTCTTCCAGAACCTTCTCTGTGACTCTCGCCGCAGCGGACTGCTCTTCCTCGGATGATGAGAGGCTGACTAAGGACTTTTTCCCCGCAGATGGTCTGGGACCAGATCAACCACTGCACACTGAAGCTACGCCAGTCCACGGGGCTGATGGAGTACTGCCTGGAGGTGATCAAGGAGAACGACCCCGCCGGCTTCCTCCAGGTGAGCCCGCTCCCAGGGCCCAGGTGGGCTCGCCCCCTTCCCCCAGCCCCACCCCGCTCCCCAAACTCCGTTAGGAAGGCCCCTTCCCGCGGCCTGGAGTTGAGTAGTCCTTTGCTCAAGGGTTCCAGAAGACCCGAGTCCTCATCTTTTTTCATCTTTATTACTTATTTGTATTGATTTCAGTGAGGAAAGGAGAGGGAGCGAGAGAGAGAGAGAAACATCCATGATGAGAGGGAATCACTGATCGGCTGCCTCCTGCATGCCCCCACTGGGGATGGAGCATACAAACCGGGCATGTGCCCTGACCAGGAATCGAACCATGACCTCTTGGTTCATAGGTCGAGGCTCAACCACTGAGCCACACCAGCCGGGCTTAAGATAGGATTTAAACCACACAGTGCGTTTGCATGTTCCGCCTGTCGCACTGGTAGGGTTCATTTCCTCTCGTCCACGGCTTCACACTAGCCGAGGGCAGCCCCGTCCAGTCCCCGGGCACAGGGACAAGGCCCCAACGCCTCCCTCATCACTCGCATGATTTTTCCTCTGCAAATCCAAACCCTGACCTCCGCGCTCCCTTTAAGATCTCGGACGCCCTGATCAAGCGAGTCCAGGTGTCTCAGGAGCAAAGGCGCCCAGGCGCCCTGGAGCCCAAGGTGTCCGCGGAGTTTGACCTGACCTTGGACAGTGAGCCGCTGCTGCAGGCCGCTGGACTTCTGGACTTCATCCAGATGAAATGTAGGGGTGAGCCGGGACTGGCCAGTTCAGGCAGGGCTGCTTTCAGAACAGGTGGCCCCTCTGAGGGGCAGCTTACAGGGTTGGGGAACGTCCGGCCCGCGGGCCATAGAAGGCCCGAGAAATCCTTTGGTCTGGCCCTGCCAAGGCATTAGGGGTGAGTTCATTAAATGCTTGACCAAATATAGCAGGCTAATTTTCTTTAAAATTTTTTAAAAAATTTATTTCAGCGAGGAAGGGAGTGGGAGAGGGAGATAGAAACATCCATGATGAAAGAGAATCATGGATCGGCTGCCTCCTGCATGCCCCCCACTGGGGACTGAGCCTGCAACCCTGGGCATGTGCCCTGACCGGGAATCGCACCGTGACCTCCTGGTTCATAGGTCAACGCTCAACCACTGAGCCGTGCTGGGCGGGCGTAGCAGGCTAATTTTTAAATGGATAATTTTGCATGGCCTGCAAATGATGTTATAAATATCGAAGTGGCCCTTGGCAGGAAAACGGTTCCCCACCCCTGCACTACCAGGTCATGATACTGGGAGGGAGGTGGAGCGGGAGGGGAGGGACGCCTGTGTCACAGACGAAGCTCAAGTCCCAGCTCAGCCACCCGCTGGCTGGGTGGCCCCGGGCAGTCGCCCCCTGGCCTGAGCCCGAGCTGTCCCACTAGTAAGAGAGTATCCTTGTTCATTCAGACACTGTCCCGTCCTCCTGTCCTCCCCCAGGCCCTGACCTTTGCCTTCCTCCCTCCTAAGCTCCAGGGGCCCCTCTTCTGCCTCTGTGACTTGTTTCCTGAGCCCACGCAGCCCAGCTGGCTCACTTCTTCCACCTCTGTGACTCTCTAAATAAACTTTCTCTTATAAAATAAAGTAAAATAAAATAAAATATGCTCCCAGCACAAGGCTTAAATGTCCCCAACCCCCCCCCCGCCCCCCAGCACCATCCCAGCCCCAGGTGTAAGCTGTGCGCTGGCCCCCAGGGTCCCTGTGGGCCTGGAGGCACGTGGACGGAGGCTCTGCTGGAATTCCCACGGATCCTCCAGTCCAACAGTGGAAACCAGTGGTTGTCAGTGGGTGGCTGGGTGGGTGGGGGAGGCACCTGCTGTGGCCCCGGAGGTTCCCGGACACCCTGTGCCTGCCCTCACCTGCCCACCTGGAGTCTAGACCCCGGGGGCGAGGGGTGCACAGGACAGGCTGGGAGTGGCTGCAGAGTGGCTGGTGAGGAGTTCAGCCACATTTCCTCCTGGGGGCCTGGGATGGTGAGGGGGAGGGGGCCGGGCCCTGGGATGGGGAGGGGGCCACAGGGACCCAGTGCCCTGAGGAGGGGTCGCGCTCTAACCCTGGCGTCCCTGTCCCCGCTGCAGTGCCGCCCGGCCCCCTGCTGCAGCTGGAGAAGTGCTGCACCCGCAACAACAGCGTCACGCTGGCCTGGAGGCTGCCGCCCTTCACCCACAGCCCCGTGGACGGCTACATCCTGGAGCTGGACGACGGCGACGGGGGGCAGTTCCGGGTGAGCCCCGTGCGGGTCTGGGGGGCCCGAAGGTCCAGGCTGGGAGTGGCTCTCATTGCCCCAACCTCTGGGCCAGCCTGAGAGGCCGCCCGTCGCTCTGATGCCACCAGAGAGGTTATTGGCTCCATGGACAGAGTGATGAGGTGCAAAGGCCCTGAGGCAGGAATAAGGCTTTTAAAAATATATATATTTTATTGATTTCAGAGAGGAAGGGAGAGGGAGAGAGAGATACAAACTTCAATGATGAGAATCACGGATCGGCTGCCTCCTGCACGCCCCACACTGGGGATCGAGCCCGAAACCCAGGCATGTGCCCTGACCAGGAATCGAACCGTGACCTCCTGGTTCCTATGGTTGACACTCAACCACTGAGCCACACCGGCCAGGCATCACTCTAACACTTTCTTTTTTTTTTTTTTTAAATATATTTTATTGATTTTTTACAGAGAGGAAGGGAGAGAGATAGAGAGTTAGAAACATCGATGAGAGAGAAACATCGACCAGCTGCCTCCTGCACATCTCCCACTGGGGATGTGCCCGCAACTCAGGTACATGCCCTTGACCGGAATCGAACCTGGGACCTTTCAGTCCGCAGGCCGACGCTCTATCCACTGAGCCAAACCGGTTTCGGCCACTCTAACACTTTCAATGTCAACATGCCGCCAGAGAAACCCTCCAGGTAACAGGTGCCGGCCGTGTCCCCGGCTCTCTTTCAGGAGGTGTACGTGGGCAAGGAGACCCTGTGTACCATCGACGGCCTCCATTTCAACAGCACCTACAACGCCAGGGTCAAGGCCTTCAGCTCCTCCGGCGTCGGGCCTTACAGCAAGACCGTGGTCCTGCAGACGTCGGACGGTGAGCACGGGGGTCTCCGGGGGAGAGACAGGTGCGGGCTCTGTCTCCGAGCCCGGG